TTGGGGAGAAGGGGTGGTGTGAGGGCGGGGACTCGGGGGGAAGGGACGGGGTGGAGGCCAAAGGGAGAAGGGTGGCACAGGGTGCAGGGCCAGTGTTTGGACACCGGTGGCTGCCCCGTTTTTAGGGGTCTGCCACCACTCCTGCCCAGAACCCAGCCATGCCCTGGGCCCGGTGGGCAGAGCCTGTGCTGGGATGCGGGACGGCGAGGGGAAAGGCAGCAGGGATGCGCTAGCTCCCGCCAGTCACAGAGAGGACGCTGCTTCCCCTGCAGCAGGGGATTCTGGCTCTCTGGAGCCCTGAGATTTTGGCCCTGGAGCTGGCACCAACTACAATCACTTCAGTCAGGCAGGAGAGACAAACCCAGCCCAGCCCCTTCATCTGCTACGAGGAAGTGGTGCTCATCTCCCTGCTGCGGGTGGGGAGCAGCTCCCCTCGGGGGCATGAGGGGCTGAGCCCGGTAAAAGTGAGGGATTCTTGGGGGAGAGTTGGTGTCCCTGCCACCTCTTTGGGCAGCACTTGTGAAGGGGTGGGGGTGGGGGGTGAAGGGGCCAGGTCCAGCATGAGAGAAGGAGTTTGTGTTTCAATCTCTTTCCCTCAGCAGAGGATCAGGCTCTTGGGGTGAGATTTTCAGAAGTGCTCCACGTTCTCCTGCCTCTATCCCCAGGGCACATACTGGGGGTTTCAGGTCTTTCCAGAGGCAGATTTTGTACCAGTGTCACCATGGCAGTTGGGGGATGGAGTTTGACTGATGTAGCTGAAAAGTAGAACCCCAGTGTGAACACAGGTATACTGGTATACAGGTGCCTCACACCAGTTCAGCCTAGTCCCCATATGCACAACTGTACCAGGGTAAAGTGGGGCAACACTCAAATACAGACAAGTCCCAGGGCATGGATAATCATGGGGCACAGTCTGGCTAGGGCCAAGACCTCTTGGAAATCCCAACCTGAATGTCTAAATACGCTGCACTCCGAGCACATAAGCAGCCACCAGGAGTCATCTCACGGCTGAGCAGCAGGACAGAGTGGTGCAGGCAGACCTTCTGCTCAGAGATCTCGGAGGGGTGGTAGAGCCTTCCCAAAAAAGGCCCCACCCCACCTCTTCCCATAGAGGCCTCAAGGGGAAGAGGAGGGGAAGGGGTTTGCCCTGGTGAAAAGTGGACAAGCCACGCCCATCCACTTTCAAAAAGTGGGAGAGCCATGATGACCCCCTGGTCCCCGCTGTTCCGGCACCACTGACTCGGACGCCTTGTCTTCAGGGCTGTCGCCATGCCAGGCTCCCAGTCACAATGTGGCCCTCACCATTTGTCCCCATCCACAATACAAGTCAATTCTGTTCTCCACCCACACGTAGAGCAAACCCATCCCAGGAGCTTCACTCACCGGTGAATCTCTCCAGCATTCCCCTCATGTCAAGGCAGATTTTATACCCGTTCCTCAGGGCAGGAGAAACGGCTTGTGGTGGCTGGAGCTTCACATGCTCACTCCTGTGAAGAAAACGTCCCCTCATCACTCATCTGCTCTGTACCCACATCACTCATGGGAACAGAAGGAGAAAAGGAAATGGAAACAGACCTGATCAATGTGCTTTTCACATCCTGAAAGGAGACAGAGAGACAGGGAGCTGAGTTAACACTACATGCAAAACATGCAAAACCGAGTGACTTTCCATTCTCTACCACATTGAATCCACCACATTTAGCATGTCAGGGCAGCCGCTTCTGTGCAGGACACTAGGCAGTGAGCACCTGGTTCTGACTCTCAGAGGAGCTGAGTGTCATGTGACCATGGCACAGACTGGGGGGGATGTGACGTTCTGCGAACACTGAACAGGGAGCTTTGTTGGGACAAGGAAAGCAGCAGCATCCCTAACCAGGGCCGGCTCCAGGCACCAGCTTACCAAGCAGATGCTTGGGGCGGCCGCTCTGGACAGGGGCAGCACGTCCAGCTATTCGGCGGCAATTCGGCGGACGGTCCCTCACTCCCGCTCGGAGCGAAGGACCTCCCGCCCAATTGCCGCCGCAGATCGTGATCGCGGCTTCTTTTTTCTTTTCTTTTTTGCGCCGCTTGGGACGGCAAAAATCCTGGAGCCGGCCCTGTCCCTAACGCCCCTCTGTCTGTCCCTCCCCTTCCCTGCAAAGCTGCCACCCAACTGTCCCCAGCCTCCCCCCCTCCTGGTTTCCTGTTGCAGATCTAAGGAGACAGTGCCCGGATCCTCACTCTAGAGGGGCTGGAGCCAGGGGTGCTGGGGGTACTGCTGTACTCCTGGGCTGGAAGTGGTTTCCATTATACACAGGGTTTACAGTTTGGTTCAGTGGCTCTCAGTGTCCCCACTATACACATTGTTCCAGCCCCCTGCCTCACTCTGAGCAGCTCAGCGCCCATTGCTTCAGCTGGAGCGTGGGTGCTCAGCCCGTCCTAGATCAATAGAGCCTTGTGTGCATACAAAATCTGTCTGCGCATCAGAGCCGCGATCCAAAACATGGCCAGGGCCGGCTCTAGGCACCAGCAAAACAAGCTGGTGCTTGGGGCGGCACATTTTTAGGGGTGGCATGGCCGGCGCCAGAATGCCGCCCCTACTGCCCCTAAAAAAGTGCCCCGGCCGCCCTAGCTCACCTCCGCTGCTGCTGCCGCTTGAGAGCCTGGGAGGGAGGGGGAGACTCTGAGTGGCCGCGGTGCGGGCGCCGCTTCTCCCCCTCCCTCCCTCCCTCCTTCCTAGGCTTGAGAGCCTGGGGGGAGGAGGCAGGGCTGGGGATTTGGGG